GGGTGGAAGGAATTTCAGAGCCTGCAACCACCACCACCACCTCCCTAGAGAAAATGCTATTCATGCACATAGCACAAAAGGAACAGTGAGAAACAAAGGTATTATTCACTCTTGCTTGCATGCCCTTAGTTCAGGTATCGGTTGATTTTATGAGCAAGCTATTCTGAGATAAAATCAGGAGGGTTTCTCATCATTATTTGCACTAGTGCTTTCTTATCAACATGCTAGACAGGATGTAATTATCTTGTCCTTTGTTCACAGAACAACAGCGCAAGTGTGTAGCCATTGTGTGCACGAACCACATTTACCCTTCTGAAGCTCTGGTGTGGATGGGCCTTGTGGCTCCTCTGTTTAGAAGGGGAAGAGATAAGCCCAATGTTTATGGATAAATGGCCCTGACCCGTTAGACTTGTTGAAGTAAGGGCTGTTCTTCTGGAAACCAGCGTTTGACACTGTTTTAATGTTTTAGGGATGCATTAAAAAAATTCTTTCTTGCTCCTCTTGCTCCTGCATGAGGGAATTTCTGTGTGGCTACGGTGTCTTTTCTGAGGAAATTCACTGCTCTTTCCCAAAAGTGTGGCAGCTGCAGAGACCACTGGATACTCCCACATACATTTGTACATAACTTTTCGAGTGGTGAGGGGCTTCTTCATTTCTAGCTGGAGCCAAGATGGAAATATTTTTCTGATCTTAACAGTGAGGGAGCAGCTGGCTGTTATCTACAGTGCCAGACCTGAACTTGGTAGGGGGGCTGCCTGTCCCAACAGCACTGGAGGGGAAAGCTAGGGCAAACTTTGGCCGAAACAATAAGTGGTGGTGGTGGAGGCCATAGGAACTAACTTCTAGGGGCTGAGATCCCTTTGGTGCCCCCAATAAAATATTTTAGCCTTCCCCCGCCCCCAGTTAGGGTTGCCATATTTCAAAAAGTGAAAATCTGGAAACAAAAGTGGTTTTGTTCTGGTTGAGTTGTTTGTTTTTGTTTTTTTGTTTTGCAAAATCTACAAAAAAAAGGAAATCTATTTTGGAGGGAAATTCACCAAAACATCAACACTTCCGATATGGGCAGCCATCCACCCAGATTTTACCAGGACATTTTACCCGGTTTCTGAAAATTCCGCCCTGATGCTACCGTACTTTTCCGTGAATAAGACTAGATTTTTTTTACTCTAAAATAATGTTTTAAAATGGGGGGGGGAGTGTTATACACGGGAGTCATCTTCCCCCATTTTCGTAAATTTGATTCTCCCAAAATAGGGGGCGTGTTATACACGGGGGAGTGTTATACACAGAAAAATACGGTATTTTCAGCAGACGGGTCTCAGATATGTCCAGGAAATTCCAGACATACGGCAGCCCTGCCCCCAGTTGATGGGCATTGCCATTCAAATGGTGTGAGTGCACCATATCATGTGATTGATTATGTGGGGTGGAGTTTACTTGTCTCCTCCCCCCAATATTTATTTCAGGTTCCCCCTCCCCCGCCCACTGGAGACTCATCAGGACATATGGGGTAGTGCCTACCAACCTCATTCTGCCCTCAGCCAGCTCAAACCTTGTTGCCTTAAGTACATTTGGTCCAGAGGATAGCTTATTAGCTTCTTCCTCCTTCGTCTCGGTGTTGCCCTGGTAGATCACAGCAGGGAGGGTAATGGAGGCAAAGCTAGAATTAGGTGGCTCTGCTTGCAAATGGCTCAGCCTCCACCTCCCGTTGGCTTCCTAGCTTTCTACCCTGTGAGTCTCATTTGTCATCAGGCGCCCCAGAGTGATGATGCCGGAACTATGTCTTTCAACAGAAGCCTGTCCCAGCTGATGATGAATCGCAGAATTCCCAACCCCTGCCACAATTCTCTCTTTCTCTTTCCATTTCTTTTCAACTCCACTATTTTCCTTTGTTCAGGCAGCATGGGGTTGGCGTACTGAGAGTGTAGAAGACCATTTGATGAGGACTTATAGTTCTTTGAGAAATGGCTGGGTTGGAGAAGGGAAGGGCTAAAATCATAACAGACCATTTTTGCACTACATGTTATGCTGTTGTACAGTGGTACCTTGGTTTAGGAGCAGTCTGGTTTAAGAAAGATTTGGTTTACAAACTCCACAAAACCGGAAATAGTGTCTTGGTTTGAGAACTTTACCTCAGTCTAAGAACGGAATCTGAATGATGGAAGGGCACCGGCGGCGGGAGGCCTCATTAGGGAAAACGTGCCTCGGTTTAAGAACAGTTTTGGTTTAAGAACGGACTTCCGGAATGGATTAAGTTCATAAACCGAGGTACCACTGTAGTTATAATTGGTTTTTTAAAAATGGAGTAACATAGATTTCATGGCATGGAGGAAGATTTCTAGTGAATGAAATTTTGCATTGTCTCTATAGATTCTCTGACCTATAGATAAAAGCCAGAAACAAGTAAGTTCAGTGGTACCTCGGGTTACATATGCTTCAGGTTACATACGCTTCAGGTTACAGACTCCGCTAACCCAGAAATATTACCTCGGGTTAAGAACTTTGCTTCAGGATGAGAACAGAAATTGTGCTCCAGCGGCACGGCGGCAGCAGGAGGCTCCATTAGCTAAAGTGGTGCTTCAGGTTAAGAACAGTTTCAGGTTAAGAACGGACCTCCGGAATGAATTAAGTACTTAACCCGAGGTACCACTGGCTTTTAAACAAATATTCAGCTATGCTTGCCAGCACTCCAGGTAGATCCCTGCTTGGCTTGAGGCCCAACTCTTCAGGCCTCCAGGCCAGCTGTCCAATCTCTGTGCCACCATTTACCACCATGGGAGAGTTGGGGAGGAAGGAAGGTGAATGGGCACCATGCCAATCAGCCTCTTCCTTTTCCCTTTCCAAGTTGGGTTGGAAGGAGACAGAGGCCGTGTGGTCAAGGGGGCAGAGCTGTGTGAAAGCTGCAGCGCCACCTTCGCTTGCTCCTCTGCCTGTGTGGCATGGACTGGCTGGATATACAGAGGAGTGGTGGAAGGTACCAGCCAAGGAACCCCCAGGGGAACCAGGCTCATGTAGCTATATATTTTTAAAAAACATGAATCTAGCACACAGCCAGATTTTTCCGAAGGCCATTAAAAAGCATTATGTATCTGGAGTTGAATTTAAAACTTGGCATTTAGTCTATAGAATGGTGGGGCATCATTTTGTCCTTTGCCTCAGGCCACTTCTGATCTAATATCATTATATCTTGCAGACCTTGCTCATTTCTTTGAGACATTTTTGTTTTTTCTTAATTAAGGTTTTGCCATACTCACAATCTGGAATATCATCTAAGAGCTAATCAGAAAGCACCAACACCAATATGACTGAAGAGTAATTAGAATCTGGGGGCATTTGTGCACTACAACTTCCACATTTGTGTGGAGGATATATATCTATATATATAGATATATATAAAGATATAGATATAATTTCAGATGCATCCTTGACCATGTTTATAAAAATATTTATATACTGCTGTATCATAAAAGCATATCATGGCGGTTTACAACACTATAAAATCATACAATAAAATAATAAAACCTGGTTTTATTTTTAATGTTTTTCCCTATTAGGGTGTTGTCCCTGGCTCTGTAAAGAAAAAATACACTGCTTCACATATTTATTCTTTATTTTAGTGCTGAGTAGATATAAAGGCTTGCATCTTTAAAGTCTTAGGGCTAGGAAAACCTATTCGAGCCTGAAAAAGAATTTTTACGACCCAAAGTTCAGATCATTGAGACTATTTTGGACTATGTTCTGAATGTCTGATTCAGCTATGGCTGTGCAATCTTCACCTTCCTAGAAAACTGTGTTAAGGAAATTAAAATTCAGACACAATGATGAGTTTGCATTTTTTTGAGTAAATTGAAGCTTTGCAAATGTATCTGTCACAAATAACTGGCCACAAATAACTTCATATGAAATAAAAGAAGTCCATGTAGCTTGTAGAGTATGTGTACACTGATGAATAGGCTAAAATATATGAGAAAATGGATGTTGTTTATCTGGCTTGTGTGGCAGACTCTTTGGAGGATATGGCATGCCATGAAATGGAGATGTCTGATCCCTGTCACTCTAGCTGTTAAAGCTTTGTTTACTCAGTGAAAGGTTAACAAGCAAATATCTTCACATGCGCAACTGTCTGGATTAAATTACTCTACCAGGGTTGATTAAAAGACTTCGGGCAGCTTTATTTCATACCATAAACAGATATTATTATGAAACAGCTTGGAGCAAATAGTTAATTGAAAGCTTTTATTCCACATTTATCCAACTTGTTTTGAGACCTTGTGTGACAGGATAAGTAACAAAAATAGTACAGAGGGCAGTGAGGTTGAAATTATGTAAAGCTATCTTTTATTTTCAGGTCATAAACCACTGCCTTAAAATGCCTTGGTCCTGATGCCTTTGGACTTTATAATAATGAAGGCTCTCTGTTGTCACCATTTGGACAAAACAAGTGCAGCCCCCTCCCATGTTTCCAGATTGTGTTGGGGTGCACATTCAAAAGGAACATCTCTGAGCGCAGGTGGTTTATCTTCAATGCATTGGCTTCAGTGGAATCTGTATTTTCACATACATCCCAATGCATATTTCGTTGACATCAGTGCATGCAGATGTGTATTCCAGGTAATCCAGATCCAATTCCGGACTGGAGTGGACTGGAGCAAAATCGTGCATCTTCCTCCACTTTTTGTTGTTGTTGCTATTAGTATCCCTAACAAACAAACTGGAGCATGTGCAGGCAGAGAGTTGGTTTAACTATGCTGCTCTCCACCCATCTCTCTCTCTCTCTCTCTCTCTCTCTCTCTCTCTCTCTTTCACACCCCTCCCCATCCAGGCCAATGTGCCCTGAAGGAAAGTGCAAGAAGGTCAGGTGCATTTATCTGGGAGTCAGTCCTACTGAATTCAATGGGGCTTAATTCTGTGTAGACACATATCAAAGAATCATAGAACTAAACAGTTGGAAGAGTCCATGAGCTTCATCTAGTCCAACCCCCTGCAATGCAGGAATCTTTTGCCCAATGTGGGACTCAAACCCACGACCCCAAGAATAAGAGTCTCATACTCTACTGACTTGAGTGAAACTAGGACCTGTCAGTCTCCATTTATAGAATTGCAATGGAAGACCCTCCAAACTCTTATTTTTTCATGTCCCATCAGACATTGTGTCGATGGGTTGATAACAAAAGGTGGGGTTTTCAAAATGAGCAATGTGACACTAGATTTGAGAAACGGATTAGCAGGACACGTGGTCCTGTTACAATAGAAAGCAAGAGGAGGAAGAGTAAGGAACCATGGAGGGTGACAAGGCCCAAACCAGAGTTGGAAAATGTGGGTTTTCAAAGGAGGTATGGAAGAGCCCTTAGACAAAAAGGGGGAAAAAAGGGGGGGAGACCAGCACTTTTATTATCTGGAGATGGAACTTGCTGGTTCATTTTAAAGTACCACCTTGCTGTCTTCACCAGAACAGAAAGTAAAGGACCCCTGGGCAGTTAAGTCCAGTAAAAGGCGACTATGGGGTTGCGGCGCTCATCTCGCTTTCAGGCCAAAGGAGCCGGCGTTTGTTCACAGACAGCTTTCTGGGTCATGTGGCCAGCATGACTAAACCGCTTCTGGCACAACGGGACACCGTGACGGAAACTAGAGCGCATGAAAACACCGTTTTCCTTCCCGCCTATTTATCTACTCACACTAGTGTGCTTTCGAACTGCTAGGTTGGCAGAAGATGGGACAGAGCAACGGGAGCTCACTCCATTGCAGGGATTCGAACGGCAGACCTTCTGATCGGCAAGCCCAAGAGGCTCAGTGGATTAGACCACAGCACCACTCACATCCCCTTTACCAGAATAGAACCAGACAGTGTGAAGAAGGACCTTCTTTTGCCTATCCTAAAGCTTGCCACATTCAGCTTCATTGAATGACCCCAGGTTCTAGTACTGGCAATCCGCGTTTTGCACAGGAGTTATACTCTGGACTCTCGCATGCGTTGACAGGGCGCATGTAAGCCTACCCTATTCCGCCCCTTTGTATGATGTCTTTATGACATTTCAGGGCTAATTCTGGGTTCAGTCCTCCCTTACTTTGCAGCTTTGCAACAGTCAGTACTTTTTTTCTTAAAAAAATCTTTAGGGGTACAGTGGTACCCCGGGTTACATACACTTCAGGTTACATACGCTTCAGGTTACAGACTCCACTAACCCAGAAATAGTACCTCGGGTTAAGAACTTTGCTTCAGGATGAGAACAGAAATCGTGCTCCGGCAGCGTGGCGGCAGTGGGAGGCCCCATTAGCTAAAGTGGTGCTTCAGGTTAAGAACAGTTTCAGATTAAGAACAGACCTCTGGAACGTATTAAGTACTTAACCCTAGGTAACGCTGTACTCTCATTTTGGCTCAACAAAATCACCATTTTATAGTTCGAATCAGGAAAAATAAATACAGTAAATGGACAAAAGTACAAAGAACATGAATTACTTCATGATGATGAAAAATAGCTAGTAATTTTCCTACTCATATTGAAATACAGCCCACCAATGAGGCCAAACCTTCATCAGTGAAACACCACACATCCCACACTGCTTCACATATTAAACGCTCGCTTCCATCTGAGACTCAGGAAACACCATGACAGGAAATGAAGCTGCCATGGGGGCTAGCAATGGAACTGACAATTTGCCATGCTAGAGAAGAAGCTATTTTTTAAAATAAATAAATAAATTAGTTTCTTCTCCCATTAGATTCACAAAATGTTTAGGGGTATGTGTACCCGTGTGTACCCCCAGAAAAAAAGCAATGGCAGCAATACCCTTTTTTGAAAAAAGCTGCACATGATATTCAGTCTGAGAAATGTACATCATATTCAAAGTGTGGTCATTTTGGCATTGCAATACTGGCAGTTTTATTTTTAACCCCCTCCCTAATGACCCCTAACACAGAATGTGCCTTTTTCATAGATAGTGCACATAGAGTCAAGGTTTTCCTTTTCATTCATCCACCACAACACCAATATATCTCTTTCCTGGCTTCAGAGAGTTGAGGGAGTCTCCAGTTGGGGGCATGGGGGAGGACTTGGAGGACGGAGAGAGAATCATTTTTAAAAAATAAAAATGATGCCCTCCCTGTTCCACTGATGGAAGCCTTTTCATGACACTCTGAAAGTTTTAAATGTGTTTTAATTAATATAGTTATACAGTGGTACCTCAGGTTAAGTACTTAATTCGTTCCGGAGGTCCGTACTTAACCTGAAATTGTTCTTAACCTGAAGCACCACTTTAGCTAATGGGGCCTCCTGCTGCTGCCGCACCACCGGAGCCCGATTTCTGTTCTCATCCTGAAGCAAAGTTCTTAACCTGAAGCACTATTTCTGGGTTAGCGGAGTCTGTAACCTGAAGCGTATGTAACCTGAGGTACCACTGTACCTGATCTGAGCATTGAATGAGCTTGTTTTTAAATAAAGAATGAAATGACTGAAGACTCAAACTGATAAACAAATGTGTATGGGTGAAATTACTGAACCGCTTGCAAAATCAATAAATAGACCAAGAATTCTGAAATCCAAGAATTCCTTTACTAGTTTCTGTAAGGCAAATGCTTATGATAGTGCCTAATAATAGCAATGCTTTTTAATCCATTCCTTTTTTCATAAACTATATCCTGTGCACTATTTATACTGATTCTAAGAGCAATCCTCTTGGATCAGACCAAATGCCCCTCAACTCCAGCATCACAGTGGTCAACTAGAAGCCTGTGGGAAGCCTGCAAGCAATACTTTCTTGTGATTTTATGTGGGAAGGGTTATTGTAAGGACAGGGTCCAGAATCATTTCCCCACTGGTTCCAAATCACCCCTTCTAGCCTCTCTTTTTTCGTCTTCCGTGGAGTTCCAAGTGTCTGTTTTCCCTTGCTAAAAGGAAAGCAACTTCATTTTATGCATTTCGTTTCCTGTTTTGTGTGAGAAACAGAAGAAGCTTAGGTGCCCTCAAGTGGTGGTTTTTTACCACTGCAGAAGAGAAATGCAGGTGGAAAATGCAGTTTTTTTAAAAAAAAAATGCACCAGAATAATTGAAGTGAATTGGAGATCATTTTCAGATTATTGAAGAAAGCATGCTCATAATTTGTAGTATATTTTGTTGCAAATTATGCACTTCTGAAAGGCTTTGAAATTCATCCTTCTTTTGATAAATTGTGGTATTTAATCAGCATAACAGAATTTTAAGAATGGTATAATATTTTAAACCTAAATGTATTCATGCAAATAATTTATTTCGGAATCATTTAGTATGCAGTTCATTGCCCAGTAATCTTGTCAGTAACCAGAAGATGTTGCCTCATTCAAATTTAACCCTAAACATTTTTACTTTGGAAGTTGTGTTTGAAACTCCCATTTTTTAAGGCTCATTTTGTGACAGGGAATTTCATTAAGACGAGCAGTTTCTGAGCTCTGGGTACAACACTGTGCCTAAGATTTCAAATTAAAACTGCAGAGTGGAAGGAAAGGAGGACCTTTTTCTGCCTCCCAACTTCCAGCTACTCTCTGAAGACTGGAGAAGAGACCCTCTTAAGAATATTAGGGAGGTGGCAGGGGAAGAACTAGACCACGTGAAAAATGAACATAATATATTAGCTGCAGTTCCTTCTTGTTATTAAAAAGTGCACCTAGGCATTCCGTAACCTAGGTTTAAGGTGCCATTTAGCTTCTAGCTTTCATATCTCTGTTTCTAACACTGCTTGGAAGCAATACCAACTAAATTCAAGGGGACCGAATAGTGCATGCTTACAGCCGAGGCCTGCATGACAGAGAATTAACCTTGCTAACCAGAACCATTACCTTTTTACTGTCCTCTGTAATGTTTTCGTTCTGAAACAGAAAGCGTAGGATGCTGTGTTGGTCCATTACGGGAGGGAGCGGGGAGCCCACAGTTGGGCAATGTCTTTCTTGGATCAACCCAATTGTCACAAAATGGTTATACATCTACTATGAAGAATTTGAGGGATTGCTCGCTGTTTTATGATGTTTTTGGTGATGCTTTTAATATTGTCTATATAAATGCACAAGACCTTGTTTTGTGGGTGCTTGATCTACATTCTGAGCAGTGAAAAGGATGACTGGCAGGCCATGGGCCAGAAGTGATTTCACCCTTCGTGGCCCTAGAATAATGGTATGTCTCCCTCGTGGATTTTGTCTGCGATATGAACATGTTCATACCTCTGTGTAATTATATTTATATTTATTTTAAAACATTTATGCGCTCTACTTCTGGACATTTTAAATGGCTCACAAATAAAACACTATGAAAACAATTACCGTTATTTGCATATAAAACTGTATAAAAATGAAAAACCCAGAACCATAGCTATCGATAAATACGAAACACGGTTGCAGCTTGCCAAGCCCAGTGATGCATGGTTGAGCCGAAACAACAACAACAACAACCCCTTATAAAAGACTTGAACATGTGAATACCGTATCTGCGAAGCCTTTGCAGATGTGGTCATCCACATTGTGCAGCCAAATATTGTTGAGCTCCAGATCACTCTCTGGAAAACAGAGTAGTCCCAGAGAATGCAAAGGTTATTCATTGTCCGCTCTAGAAAAGTAAGTTGTGGATGGATTTCACAAGTGGATATCCTTGACCTTTTTCTTTCTTTCCCCTTTTGAAACTACTGAACCGCATTGCCTTGAGGAAACAGAATGCAATAGTTCAAATTGTGCTCTAAGTTGTAATTTGATGCTCTGCAATGCTTGTTTTAAAAAATGTAAAAGAACTTTTTTTGTCTCTTTGGTCCAGTGGAGTGGAAATGGAAGAGGAGCTTTCTGCGATTTCCTCATTTTTCCTGCAGTCCCCTGGGCTACGTCTCATGCTGCTTCAAAGTGTTCCCCAAACCTCTGCAATAGATTTGGAGAGGCACAGGGAACTGCAGAGGCAGGGGCAGAGGAATGGGGGGTGCGCCACCCCAGGTGTCACCACTGAGGAGGGTGACAAAATACCAGGCGGCACTCACCAGTGCAGGAGCCAGTGTGGTGTAGTGGTTAAGAGCAGTAGACTCGTAATCTGGTGAACCGGGTTCGCTTCCCCGCTCCTCCACATGCAGC